AATGTGACAATGAAAAACCCAAGGAAACTCAGCTTAGCCCCTGTAATGGTGAGCTGTACAGAGAGCCTGTAGAGCAGGAGTCAGCAACCTTTTCAAACCAAGAGCCAAACTACATCAAAATTCAGAACAGATGGTCAACAAAGAGCCGTATAAGAATGCACATTTGCATGACTGAAAACATACAACTTCATATTATTCATAATTGGCATGATGCTTACGAAAGGCATAAATGAACCATTGTACTCACTTTAATAGGACTTCTGCTGCTGCATCTTTTCACACATTTCTTTGAAGTTTACATTATAACTAGTCAAATCAGCTTCATGCATGTATTCAGGCTGTTTTCTGTCAATCTTATGGCAGGGGTAGGGATGTAGGCGTGCAGGAGTTTGGGTGTATGATAGGCTCAGGGCACAGGTTTGGAGTGTGGGTGGAGCAGTAGTGTTATGGCAGGGGACTGGGGATGTGGGGATATGAGGGGCCCAGAGTAGGGGATTAAGGTGTATGAGGGGCACAGGATTGGTGAAAGGGGGGTTCAGAAATGTTGGGGGCTTGTTGGCCAGGCTTCAGTTTTAAATAGAGTAAAATATTACGTCCAACACGAGAAGGTTTCAACATTGTCTTTATTTATGGCAGCAGTGGGGAACCTTTTTTAGGTCAGGGGCCACTGTCCCACAGAAAAATCAGTCAGGGACCACACAAGTGAGAAGCAAAAAACAACCCCTTCAAAAACCTCAGTCCCCTGGTACTCCAGCCCTGTGGCAGGGGGAACTGAGGCTCAAAGTCTCAGGCCAGGTTAATTGTTCTGGGGTTCCAGGGTTAGTGGAATTTGTGCCCTGTTCCCAAGCTCTGGGGTGGGGCCAAAAATAGGTCCAATGTGCGGGTCAGAGCTGCCAGTGAGTGGGATAGGGATGGGGGTGCTGAATGTGAGTGGAAGTAAGGGTGCAGGAGTAAGCTAGAAGTAGGTGTCTGGCCAGGGGGAGGGTGCAGGAGCAGGGTGGGTGGGTGTCAGGCCAGGGGGCAGGGAGCTGGTGTGTGTCTGGCCAGAGGACAGGAGCAGGGGGCTGGTGGCATGAGACAAGCACAGACTGATGGGACCACATAGTTATGTGGCTGTGGGACAATCAGCAGTGGCTGCAAACTTACTCATGTGTAAGGATACTTTCCTGGAACTTTACGAATTGCTTTCCCCCACCCTGAAGCACAGCAATACCAGAATGAGATCCATTTTGACTGTTGAGAAGCAAGTGGCAATAGCTCTGTGGAAGCTTGTAATACCAGACAGTCAGTTGGGAATCAGTTCGGAGTGGGGAAATCTACAGTGGGGCTGCTGTGATCCAAATAGCCAAGCCAATCAATACCCTTTTCCTCCAAAGGATAGTGACTCTGGGAAACATGCAGGACATAGCGGAGGGTTTTTGCCATGCTGGAGTTTCCTAACTGCAGTGGGGCAATAGACAGAGCGCACATCCCTGTCTTGGTACCAGACCACCTTGCCAAAGAGTACATAAACGCAAGGGAAACTTATCAATGGTGTTGCAGGTGCTGGTGGATCACAAGGGCTGTTTCACCAACATCAATGTGAGAAGGTCAGGAAAGGTGCATGGCACACGCATCTTTAGGAATTCTGGTCTCTTCAGAAAGCTGCAAGAGGAGCTTCCTTCCCACACCAGAAAATTACCATCAGATGCGTTGAAATGTCAATAGTGTTCCTTGGAGAGCCAGCCTACCCTTTGGTCCCATTGCTCATGAAGCCGTACACAGGCAGCTTAGACCACAGTCAGGAGCAGTTCAACTACAAGCTGAGCAAGTGCCGAATGGTGGTGGAATGTGCTTTTGGATATTTAAAGAGGTTTTGCAGTTTATTGACTAGGTTAGACCTCAGCAAAAGCAACATAAGCAACATTCCCATTGTTGTGGCAGCCTGTGGTGTGCTCCATAGTATCTATGAAAGCAAAGGGGAAAGTTTTATGCCAGGGTGGGGAATTGAGGCAGATTGCCTAGCTATTAATTATGAGCAGCCAGACACCAGGGCAATAAGGAGAGCACATCGAGGGCACTGCAAATCAGCAAGACTTTGAAAAATAGCTTGTGAATGGCCAGACAGCGATATGACAATCATGTGTATTGTTTTAATGAGGTGTTCCCTGCATTAAGAATGCTTGCCTGTAAACCCTGTAACACACCCCTCCCCATGCAACACAAGCAGTAAAGATACTGTTGTTGAGAAATCACACATTTTTATGTAGGGAACACAAGCAGACACAGAAAAGGAGTTCAGGGAGGAAACCTCAGGTGGAAGGGAGCTGAGAAAGGAAAGCAGCATATTGCAATCCCCCTGTTCAGCAATCACATGGGTATGAGAATGACAGCCCTTTTGTTCCGGGACACATGCCTGAGGTTGAGTGTGAGGCTGCCCTTGACTCTGCATCCCTCCGCACACCCCCACATTCTAGTGCACCTGGGCGAGGAGTCTGTGGTACTTGGTGAGGAGGGAATGTGGGTTATACTGAGTTGGAGGGGGTACCTGTCCATCTGGCTGTCTTGTGAGTCCACCGTGTTTGTTATCAGCCCTGACATGACGGTCAGGACATTCTCCTGTGTCTTCACTTTGCAGTCCCTCTTGTTTCTGTCCTCATGCTCTGATCACATCTTCTACAGTAGCATTGTCCTTCAATCGTTTAATCATGCACTAATCCAGCAGGCAGATTGCATCTGCTCACTGAACATGTGATACCTACTATGTTTTCACCTTTGGGATGTGTGATAGCTGAACAGCCTGAGGAGCCGGACCCAGGGGAGCGAGGAGGTGTGCAGCAGGCTCGCTGTTGCATCCACTGGAAAGTCTGCCCTTCACTTTTTGTTCTAGGAGTGTGACGAGGTTTGTGTACCCTGCACTGGGGTTAAAACTTTGTGGGCAGAGAAAGTTCCTCTCCTCTACCCAGACTGGACATGCTGCAAGTGCTGGGGCAGTATAAAAGGGAGCAGCTCAGCTCAGTCTGGGCTGGACACTAGTGGGAAGAACCTGCTATAGGAGCTCCAGAGGTAACCCAGCGATGGATCCTGATGATGGGAGCCAGAGACCAGGGAGACTACATTGACTTCAGAGCTGGTGGAATCTCAGGGAGGACCTAGAAACCGTGTGGATCACCCCAATGCCAGATCTGGTAGGAAGTGACCCAGAGAGGGGTGCACAAGTGGTATCTCCCACCTGAGTGAGCTCAGCTTGTTGCAGTGGGATTCCCCGCTGAGCAAATGCTGGATCATTCCCCCACTGACAGGGTCCTGGATGGGGGCTCAGTAAAGTTGGCTGCCCAGTCCCCTGAGACTCTAGCCATTAGGCTGTGCTGCTCTGCACCCCACATCTGTGTTACTGACTGTAGCCCTCAGGCTATGCCCTGCACACCAGGGCTGTGTTATTGAGTTGGGCCATTAGGCTGTGCCGCCCTATAACTAAAGGGCTACACTACTGACCCAAGCGAATAGGCCTCAATACCTCAGGTCGCTGACAGCCTTACATCTGAACAGGCAACATCCATACCCCTTGTTACCTGCACCCCTCTGGACAGGGTGTGCATACATCACGATAAGGAGATGCATTGTGGAGCATTGAACCTAATCACTTAGCATAAAGGGACATCTATCCAAGACAATAGGCATGTGTTATGTCCAAGTCCAAAGTTATGCTTTTAAGCACCCAGTGTGCAGCGGGTACACCACAGAGATCTGGGAGACGCTGGACTTAGTTTGGTGGCCAGCATGATAAGGGACTGGTCAGGGCATGCACTTTTGCTTCCACTTTGCAATCATGTGCGATACAGAGTTTGCAAATAGCAGCTTCCACAGCTAGGCAAACGTCTGCATTTGCAAGGGGGGGTCCATGGCGGTGGCATGGCAGGACTGGGGCTGATGTGGTGACTGCGTGTCTGGCACCCTCCATTTACTGGGAGTATGCAACTTTCCCTTCCTACAGGAACCTATTGGTGGGAAGGGAATGCAGGCATGGCAGCAGGGCAGGGCCCCTCACACAGTAACCATGTTTTCGGCACCTCCTATTTGTCAGGAGAGAATGCAACTTTCCCTTCCCACTGAATCCTGCAGGTGGGAGGTAGAGGTGGTCCAATGTGGTGTCAGGGCTCAAACAATACTTTGTTGGAGATGAGCAAACAGAGGTGTACTGTTATGTCAGTTACAATAGCTCCCCTGCTTCATCCACGTTGCCGTGCACAATATCAGTCTTCTCCGAATCATACAGAAGGTTGCTGACTGAATATGGCCAGGAATAAGGGATCTTCCAGAAAAGGCTTTATTTTCCGAAAGATCCCTGTCTAGACTGGCGCTTTTTTCCGGCAAAGCCCCGAGCCGGAAAAAAGCGGCAGCCATGTTCATGCAAATGCCGCGGGGAAAATTTAAATCCCTGCGGCATTTGCAATTCTGAAGTGTCTCATTAGCATCCCTTTTCCGGAAAAGGGTGCCAATGTAGACACAGCTTTAGTGTAAACCAGGCCTGTTTTTAACACTGTCCATGTTTGATCCAACCTGTATCACTGGCTTTATCTTTCACTGCTCCCCTCCCCTCTCTTAGCACCAGCCTTTACCTTTTCTTTTCCCACTGCTTCATCATTGTAAGGAGTTGGTGCCAGAGTCTTCTCTTCTGCAGCTCCTGCCAACTGGAATTACCTCCTGTACCTCCCCTTTATTAAATTATTCATTCATTCATACATACATACATATGTACATTCCACAGTTTGGTAATAGCCCTTGTCATAGACCAACCCTCCAACAGGTCAGTAGGAGAGCCTGAAATAAAACCTAGGTTTCTTAACATACTGTCTTGTGCCCTACCAACTAGATGTGCTTTTTGTAGTGCTTTGGTTCTCAGCTCTCTGCTGTCTGCTAGCACCACTGTGATCCATGTTGTTCTAGAGTATTCGGGTGGGGGTGCATTGCAGTGCAGCTGTGGGAGTATAAAATAACCTCTTTTCTCTGTTTTGGACTAGGGCAAGTCATATGATGTTTGCCTTCCAACAACCACTCTAACAGAACTCCATCAATTCCAAAGAAACAGGAAGCTTGACAGCCTTTGCTATCTCCCAACTTACTGCCTGATTGTGACATTCCTTCTGAATCCTTTATTGTCAGCCTTCTGAGGTGTATGGTGAAACAGCTGCATCAGAAACATTGCTGAGGAAGCAGCTTGCAAACAAGGGAGTGCCATGGGCTTGAGCTCTGCCATCCTTCATCTCTTCTACAAGTTCAAGCTGCTGCTGCTCTTTACTTTGTGCATGATGGTGGTGGCATGGGTTACTTCTAGTTACCTTGTGGATAACATACAGGAGACTTCCAAAGTAAAGATCTTGGAGGAGAGTTTCATGAAGGCAGCCATGCTGGAGAAGGAGAATCAACAAAAGAAGGTCATGTCAGCTATGGAAGTTCCCACAGTGAAGTCCACCATGAGTCACTGCCCTGCTCTCTCTCCCTACCTGCGTAAGTGGCTCACTCTTCATTACCTTTAATGAATTAAATATGCTACTGACTCCTTGATTCTCCTCTGATTACCCTTTACCCAGGTGCTTTTCCTGTGAACTAAACTCAAAGCTAGTGCCTGTTTCATAACAGATAAACAGCAACCTCTCAACAGGTATCAGTTCACCCTAGAAATACTGAGAGTTATAAGGAGATGTGTAAGACAGTTTAATACATTATGGGGAGATTGTTGGGTCCACGCCATGCCCAGTGGTGATGCTTTGGCCAGGTGAATGAAACTAAATCTGGTAGTTCCTGTGTGACCTACATAGCTGTCCCTCTGCCTTCATTCTGAAAAACTAACAAAAGTCCACCATGAAAACACTTCAAGGGGATGGAGTAAAGGCTTTCCTACTTGCCTATGAGACTAGTCTGGCCCATATGTATTTTCTTGCTATGGCAGCCAGTAAGACAGGGGGAACAGAAAACCCATCAGAAATAGTTACACCAGTCTGATATCTGGATACTGTGTTCCATTGGCAACTGTAAGTACCTGGTTACTGGTCTCATTATAGGTCCCATACTGTGCTTTTCATTGTTTAATCTGTTAAATTTGCAATAATTGAGGAGTATGGCCCATCTTCTGAAATGCATCTTGCTGAGCTCCAGAATGATAATTTAGAAAGAAATGGGCCTCTGCCCCTACCTGACTTGCTTGGCAGATCCACTGTTTTGCTCATTTTCTTTTCCTCGTTCTTTTATGTTGAACCCCCTGTTGTGGTAAGAGATTGTCCTCCTCCTCACAACCCATACACTTCCTATTTCCATCTCCATGGCAGATGTGAAAATTCTGGTGGAAATGAAATGTCATTTCAGAAAAGTCTTTGTTGCCCCAGGGCCCTTTAAATTGCTGCTGGAGTGCTGCACGGTGTGCCTCAGGAAGCTTTGAGGGCTGTCTGGAGGGGTTGTGGCATCCTCCAAGTAGTGCAGTGGGTTGGTTGCCTAACCCCCGCCCCTTCTGTCTGAGATCCCGCCCTTTCCTGGAACATGGAGTCGTGTCAACGCCCTCCCCACACACTTTACTCAGGAGCCTGACAAGTCTGTCAGCCCCACAGCCTGACCCTGAAACATTGACATCCTTCTACGTCTATGGTTAAAGCCTTGATGATTCCCTGCTTGCCTACTCTCTCATCTCTCCACACTTGTTCCTCCCTTTGAAATCATGATTCTCCTTCTGATTGAGTGGGACTCCTTTTATACATCGTTGACATTGCTTCTTCAAGTGAATAAATGCTAAGCAACTCCAGGTACCCACTCGCTTCCAGACCCATGCAATGCCTTTGTAGCATTTTCTATTCCATTTGGTCTGGGAAGTAAGATAAATCAGAATCTGGGATTGCATCCATGCTTCTCATGCCATTCTGTGGCCTGCGTTACACGGAGTGGGACTCCTTTTATACATCGTTGACATTGCTTCTTCAAGTGAATAAATGCTAAGCAACTCCAGGTACCCACTCGCTTCCAGACCCATGCAATGCCTTTGTAGCATTTTCTATTCCATTTGGTCTGGGAAGTAAGATAAATCAGAATCTGGGATTGCATCCATGCTTCTCATGCCATTCTGTGGCCTGCGTTACACGGAAGGTTAGACTAAATCAGTGGTCCCCAACCATTTGGGGTTGCCGGGCGCTACAATCCAGCTTAGTGCAGTGGTCCCCAACCATTTGGGGTTGCCGGGCCGCTCTCCCTCCCCCTCCCCCAAGCGCCGCGCGCCCGGGGCCGGCGCTAGCGCTTTCTCCCCCCCCCATGCGCCGCGGGGGGTGAATCCGCGGCGCCCCCAGGGCCGGCGCTCACAGTGTGCCACGCGCCCGGGGCCGGCTCCGGCACCGCGCATGCGCCACATGCCCGGGGCCAGACCAGCCCTGAGCACTTGGCGGGCGCAGAGAAATGCCCCGCGGGCACCGTGTTGGGAACCACGGGACTAAATGGTCAGAATGGCCCCTTCTGGCCGTGGAATCTATAAATGCTGGAGGGTAAAGCCACTCCCACAAAGGCATTGAACTAGCTCAAAATCAAAAATGAATTAAGAACCCTTCTTGTGCTTCTCTTGCAGAAGGTTCCAGCAAGCTCAAGTTCAAAGCATCCCTCACACTGGAAGAGGTACTTAAGGAGAACTCTCAGGTGGCAAAAGGTCGGCATCGGCCTGCAGAGTGCTTAGCACTGCAACGAGTGGCCATACTGATCCCACACCGCAATCGAGAGAAGCACCTGTTGTACCTGATGGAGCACCTCCACCCATTCCTACAGAGACAGCAACTGGACTATGGTGTCTATGTAATCCACCAGGTGAGGCAACCATGAAGGCAAGGCAGCTACCTGCCTGGGAAAGATGGGAGATTAACTCCTGTGCATCTCAACCTCTTCTTCCCTACAGATATACCTCCTGGCTTTTTGTGATGGTACCTCAGAGCTGGTTGTCTCCTTGGCTACAGGACGTTGGCATTCCCTTTCTCAGAGATTCTGTCTGAATTAGAGAAGCTCTTTAAAAATGTTCCACTTTCGCTAACACCCACACAGTTTTGCCTGTGTTAAGTGTTGCGAGCTTCAGGACAGACTTACTCCTTACTAGCTGTCTCTTGTGCTTTATGCACCGTGCCATCCAGCCTGCTCAGAACCAGTCTAATTGTTAAGGTGTTAAAATGGCTTTGGCAGCCAACAATCCTTCTGCATTTGGGGCTCACGCTGATGCTAATACAGGAGAATCTGGACTATTGTTGATAAAGAAGGAAATCTTCTATAGAAAATGTCCTTGATCCAGCTAGAGCCTTCAAAATCATACACAGGAAATACTTGCCAGCCTGAATAAACTATGAAATTTGTTGTTGCTTAGTTAGCATTTCTTAGGTAGGGCTTGAGATGACCATGCTAATAATCAGGGCTCAACAATCGCAGCGAAAACCACTTGCTAGCCCCGCACTGCACATGCGCAGACCACCGGTGAACAAGGCGACTGGCTGAAATCTACTTGCCACGGGCAAGTAGATAAGCGTATTTGTCGAGCCCTGCTAATAATGTTTAAAAGCTTCAGAGGGGTAGCTGCGTTAATCTGTAAGGGTACGTCTAGACTACATGCCTCTGGTGACAGAGGCATGTAGATTAGGCTACCCGGCATAGGGAAATGAAGCGGCGATTTAAATAATCGCCGCTTCATTTAAATTTAAATGGTTGCCGCGCTGTGCTGATCAGCTGTTTGTCGGCTCAGCGCGCTAGTCTGGATGCTCCGCGGTCAACATCAAAGGCATTTGTCAACCTCCCCGGTACGCCTCGTGGGATGAGGTTTACCGGGGAGGTCAACAAATGCCTTTGATGTCGACCGGGGAGCATCCAGACTAGCACGCTGAGCCGACAAACAGCTGATCGGCACAGCACGGCAACCATTTAAATTTAAATGAAGCGATGATTATTTAAATTGCCGCTTCATTTCCCTATGCCCAGTAAACAAATCTACATGGCTCCGTCGATGGAGCCATGTAGTGTAGACACGCTCTAACAGGAAAAACTTTGCAGTTTTTTCTAATAATGTTTGTTACTGAGAAAATTAACTTACCCAACACATTAAACTTATACAGAATGAAATTTTCTGAGCCCCCAAATTTTGGGGGTGTTCACATCAAGGATCTTTGTTCATGAGCCTCTTCCACCCCTTCAGATAGTCTATTGATAGTGCCAAATCATTATTTATGTCATAGTACTTGTATACAAATTCCTGTTCTGGCTGGTGGGTTGCCTTGATCCTGCCTTCAGGCCATAGTGTTTTGATCTCCAGGTTCCCAGCTTTGACAAAACAACTCTGACACTTCAGACTGGAGACAGGATCCTAGAAGCTAACAGCTTGCCCCATTGTCTTCCAAGGGGATACGAACTATGATTTGCTTTCTGTTTGCACTTGCAGACAGATGTTTGCACATGGCCACAGGATGTGTTCTGCAGTCTAGTGTGTAGGTATGCGTTTGCTTACATGCAGATGCAGGTATGCTCACCAAATGGCTGCATCCTTGCTCTGAAGTGAGTTTTGTCACCATCGTAGGCTTATGAAATGATTAGCTACAGCTCAAAATTTATTCGGCTGCAATTAAAATAAACGAATAGAACCAATACTTCTGATCACCAAACTAACAAAAAATAAACATATATAATCCAGTAAAAAAAGAATAAAATAAAATAAAATCCCAAGACAGGAGTCCTGGTACAGGTCAGTGTATATAAAAGACAGTGTGTGTGAATTACGAGTAGGGTACCAGATTAGGTGTTAGGATTACCACATTTTTTTCCCCAGTTCTACCACAACCTGAAGAAAATCACTTAATTTCTCCATATGCAAATAGTGATACTTTCCCATTTTGTAAAGTGCTCTAAAATAAATGGAGGAAAAAGTGTGAAAGTTTAAATCCAGTTATTTTTATGCTTACGTAACTCATGCTAATAGTTGCATTTACATTCAGCACTTTCTAAGCTACATGGTTGTAGCGCTTTCATTACTTTGTCTGATGGACATTGTAAGGCAAGATGAGCGATGGGAGTAGAATAGTATTGTACAGTTTAGGTTACTCTTAGAAGCCTGATAACCTGTGCCTTGTCTGACTCTGTCCCTGGCCATTCATGAAGAAACACCTCACAATATTGGCTGTATTGATGCCCTCATACAATGTCTAGGAATTGCTCTTTGTTTGATGTGAGAACTTGGTACAGTAGAAAGGCTGAGAGCCATGAAGGATACTATAAACTATGTAATTAGGATGGAATCCAGGCAGGTTGTGAATCACTTTTAATGGGTTTGATGTATGCCTTGTCAATTTCCTTTTCCACAGGCTGGCAATACCAAGTTTAATCGAGCTAAACTGCTGAACGTAGGATACCTGGAGGCCCTGAAAGAGGAAAACTGGGACTGTTTCATTTTCCATGATGTGGACCTGGTGCCAGAAAATGACTTTAATATGTATATGTGTGACAAACAACCAAAGCACCTTGTAGTTGGCAGGAACAACACTGGTTACAGGTAGGAATGAAAGAGGTTGGAGAATATTTTGTCTAGGAATTGCCAGATTATTGGTAACATACCTCTTTCTAATTGGTGCATTCCCTGCCATCTCATATGATACTGTTCCCTTTTGTAGCATCTTTCATCCAAGTATCTTTACAAACATAAATGAATTTAGACTTTGAAATCACCAGTGATGTAGTTAGCCCTGTTTCTCAACTGGGAAAATGGAGATTCTTAGGGGACTAAGTGAAATACTCCAGGTTATGCAATACAGGCAGTCCCCGGGTTACATACAAGATAGGGACTGTAGGTTTGTTCTTAAGTTGAATTTGTATGTAAGTCGGAACTGGTACATATTGTAGGGGAAACTCTAGCCAAACATTTCTCCAGAGCTCAGTTTTATTCTCCCACACCTCACTTCCCTCAGTCCTTAATTCTCAAGCTGAGGTGTCTGCTGAGAAAAGCCGCTCCACGTCTCCCTGGTCTGCGGGGGGGAAGCAGCTAGTGCGGGGTTGCCTCACCCCGTTTGTAAGTAGGGATCCGATGTAAGTCGGATCCATGTAACCCGGGGACTGCCTGTATACTAAAACTACCATGTTTGAAAAGTCAAACAAACAAAGAGGGTGAAATAAATATTTTATTGGATCATATTCTGTTTTGGAGAGACAAGCTTTTGAGCCACACCAAGCTATCGTCTGTATACTCAGAGTTCCCACTCTTAGTTGCTACTTTCTTTGTATCTATTAGAGTGTAATTGATGCAATCTATTGAAGAGGAAATTTCTTAGCTAACTAGATCCAGTTTGGGCTGAAAATTCATAACACTAAATACTTAAAATATCTGATCTTGAATTTGGGTGCAATAACTTTGGTATTAGAAAATTATAATCTATATTTATAGACGTTCTAATGTCGTCTTACTACTCGCCAGTAAGGATCTCCAGCATGTTTCCCAACTTCAAATCCACCGCCAAAACTGGTTACCAAACTTCCATATAACTGGTGACTGACAATTTCTCCCTGTGGTGCTGCCTGCAAGCTTACAAAGCCTTCCATCCTGTACTTTCACTGGCATACATATAGAAAGAGACACACCCAATGGCAGTTACAAGCAGGTTCTCTGGCCAGCAGAGGCATGGGAAAGCTACTCCCAGCTCATCAGGCGCACACACACACACCCTGCAATATAAACCCAAAATTATACCATCTTGCACTGCACAGGAAACTGTACAACTGAAGCTCATAACATTTACACACACCCTAAATCTGGAGAGGTCTTTGCTCCTTAGTTATGGTTCCCACACACTGGTTTAGATGAAGCAAAAAAAGTTTACTTACGACTAAAGATTTTAAGTGATTATAAGGGGTAGCACAAAGATCAAAGCAAATTACCAAGCAAATAAACAAAAATGCAAACAAAACTTCATATACTACATAGATTGCTATTCATAACCAGATTCTCACCCTAAGAGACTATACAAACAGATTGTAGATTCCTAAAGGGCTAGCTACACATGCTTTCAGCTTGGAATCCCCAAGGCTATGTTTATACTACAAGGCTTTTATGAAAAAAACAGCAGAGCGTCCACATCTTATGCATGTTTTTGCACACGCAAAAAAATACAGTCAATCAACAGGATAGAGGGCTTTTGCCAGTAGAGTTATTCCTCTCCCCATGAGGAATAACTCTTTTTTTGCACTACAGCTCTTGCCCAAAAAGGCACGTGTAGACACTCTGCAGGGGTTTCTTGTGCAAAAAGAGACTATCAGAAAAAGCACAGGTGCTCTGATGCCATTCTGTTAATGGCAATCAGAGCTTTCTTATGCAAGAGCAACCATGCAGTGTGGATGCTCTCTTGCACACCCTCTCTGATCACCTTCTTCTTGTTAACATGCCTGTAGAAACCTTTCTTGTTATCCTTCACATCCTTAGCCAGTTGCAATTCCATTTGCGCTTTCGCCTTCCTGATAACCCCCCGGCATTCTCGAGCTATACATTTAAACTCCTCCCTGGTCATTTGTCCAAGTTTCCACTCTTTGTAAGCTTCCTTTTTGTGCTTAAGTTCACCAAGGATTTCTCCTAGGTCATTGGCTGTGATTGGACCATGTTTGCCCCTCTTGCTACGCGTCGGGATGGTTTCTTTCTGAGCCTTCAATAAGGCTTCTTTAAAATACTGCCAGCTGTTCTGGACTCCTTTCCCCTTCATGTTAGCATCCCAGGGGATTCTGCCAATCAGATCTCTGCGTGAGTCAAAATCTGCTTTTTTGAAGTCCAAGGTGTGCATTTTACTACTCTCTTTTCTTCCTTTGGTCAGGATCCTGAAATCTACCATCTCACGATCACTGCTTCCCAGGTTGTCACCCACCTCCACTTCCCCTATTAGTTCTAATAAGCCGTGGCATATTAGAAATAACTGATAGTCACTAAGGACTGGTCTGTACTAGACCAGGCAGGTTGGCTTAAGGTACACTCTCTGGCTATGCAAAATGCATAGCTGCATTCGGCTTACCTTAAACTGAACTGCCGCAGCATCTACACTGCAGGAGGCCAACAGGAGCACATGTTCCCATTGGCTTCCCTCACGTCTCATAGATGAGGAGTACCAGATGCTAGTGAGGGGTGCCCTCAGCATTCAATTTGGGGGTCTACACTAGACCCACTAAATTAAATGCTAGAAGATTGACCTCCGGAGGGTCAGTCTTCTCTGTAGTGTAGATATGCCCTAAGGCTTCATCTACACTACAGGCTTCTTATGCAAGAATGGCTATTCATGCACAAAAACTTGAGGAGCGTCTACACTGCTCGCACATTCTTGTGCAAGTAAACTTACAGTAAAGGGTCAGAACAGGGCTTCTTGCGCAAGAGTTCTGACGTTTCGTACAAGGAATAAGCCTTCTGTGGATACTGTCGACAAAACTTCTGTCGACAAAGAGCATCTACACTACATTGAGGTCTGTTGACAAAGCAAGCTGCTTTGTCAACATGGTAGTGTAGACGCAAAGGACAGTTTACATGCAATACCGCTGTCGACAGAAACTCTGTCGACAGAAGGCGTTATGCCTCGTAAAATGAGGTTTACCAGCGTCGACAAAACTGCTGAGTTCTGTCGACGTTATGTCAACAGAACTCAGCGGTAGTGTGGACGCAGGTATAGTTTTGTCGACAAAAGTCCACGTTTGTCGACAAATCCCTGTAGTCCAGACACACCCTAAGTGTTTACATATTTGCTTCCCAAGTTGAGGCTGCAGGCTTCTTTGTGATGCTATTTCTTCTCTTAATTTTCTGACCTACCTTGATGAGATGGTCCTTAGAGATGAGTGTATAAGCTAGAGTTACTCCTAGATAAGCTTTGGCCGTGTGCCAACTGTTCTCTATTCAGGATTTGAATTCTCATAAAATGTTTGAATCATTGAAAGCATTTTGATACTGTCTTAGACTGTGCTTAAGTCTCCACTTCTTTAATAGCCAATGATGGTTGCAAAAACTTGGTTCAGCTTCTCCTCAGTCTTTCTGGGTATGTCTACACTACAGCACTAATTCAAACTAACTTAATTCAATTTAGTTAATTCAAAATAAGATAATTGGAATTAGTGCATCTAGACCTAAAAACTAATTTGAATTAGCATTTTGCTAATTCGAAATAGAATGTCCACATTGAATGGACCCTGAACTGAAGATAAGGCTGGCCGGAACCAGTGCCGGCACTACGCATCCCATGCCTTCCAGTAGATGGTGTTCCCTTCTGGTTTCTTCCTTGTGAGGTTCCTTCCAGAGCTTTCAGCAGTGCGGAGCCTGTGGAGAGAGCTTGAAAGCGATTGCTTACCTCTATAGCATCGGGGAATTCCCGTGCTGGCCTTTTTCCCCTTCTAGAAGTTACATGCTTTCAGTTCTCTTCTTGGTCACGTACTGCCCTCTCTGGCTCTTCTGCCTGCCGTGCTTGAAGGATTAAATGCTGCCTTCTATCGAGGAAGTCTTCATCCTCTCTGATCAAGCGTAGGGTCGACACTTGGGCCTCCAGTCCTCTAATTTTTTCTTCCAAAATGTCGACCAGCTTGCACTTGGTGCAGATGAAATCTGTTCTTTCTTCCGGGAGGAAGACAAACATGGCACACGCTGTGCAGGTAACAACAGCAGACCCATCACCAACCATCGCTGCTGTCCTGGAAAAGGGATTTAAAAAGAAAGGCAAGAGAACCTCCTGCCCTTCCCAACTCCCTCTCAAAACTCCCTGTTAGCACTCACCTGTTCGCAAGCTCCTTGGTCGCTTGCCCACTGCCTTATAAAGCCCCTCCCCCTACCAAGGCTCAGCCAATCAGCAGAGGCTTCTAGAATTCAAACTTTAATTAGCAGCCAGCAGTTTCCACCTGCCAATCACAGCCAATCACAGCACAAACTCCATCAAGGGGAAGGGAAGGGCAGAGGGGAGGTGGGGGGAAAAAAACCCCTCACTCTCAAACACTCTTCCAGAAAAGCTTCTTCCAAAAGAAGCCTGCAGCCTAGACGTAGCCTCTTACACGCAGAAGCCATGACAATTTTTCTATGGCAAAAGTTGGGAGAATATAGGAAGCTGTGTGTGCACTAAATAATTTCTTCCCCTTTCCTTTCCATTCCATTCCACTCCACTGTTCTTTTCTATGCTGTCTCCATCCTTTCCTATATATTGTGTCTCTAGCTTCAGTCAATGTCTTAACTAACTCTGCCATGTTTGGCCCAGGTTCACTACCATATAAGCCCAGAACAAAAACAATCCTATCCAGCCTATGTCTGTCTTTGCACGTGTTTCTCAGCAGACTAACAGAAATTGAAAGGCCAGAACATTAAGGAGCAAGAGCTGGTTGTTAGGCTGGACAGACCAGAGCCATTAATTAATGTTATGAAACTGTAAGTGTAGGAATAGCATGTTTGTGATAAGATTTAATTGTAACTGTTATTTCAAATGAGAAATGTATTTTAGTGATGATTTTAAAAAAATCACAAAAATCCGATTTAAATTTAAAAAAATCACTGATTTTTATCCACCCTGCTTGGGATACACAGCCATCTTTGACTGGCAAGGAGGGATCCAGAGGAGCAAAGTAAAACATGCTCCAGACTGTCAGTTGGAGAGAGTTGCTCTGATTAGCATTCTGAAGTGAATCATGGGCTGTGTCTAGACTGGGTAGTTTTTCCGGAAAATCAGCCACTTTTCCGGAAAAACTTGCCAGCTGTCTACACTGGCCACTTGAATTTCCACAAAAGCACTGACTTCCTACTGTAAGAAATCAATGCTTTCTGCGGAAATACTATGCTACTCCCATTTGGGCAAAAGTCCCTTTTGCGCGAAACTTTTGCGCAAAAGGGCCAGTGTAGACAGCTGAGATTTGTTTTCCGCAAAAAAAGCCCCGATCGCGAAAATGGTGATGGGGGCTTTTTTGCGGAAAAGAGCATCTAGATTGGCCACGGATGCTTTTCCGCAAAAAGCGCTCTGTTCCGAAAATGCTTTTAACGGAAAACTTTTCCATTAAAAGCATTTCCGGAAAATCATGCCAGTCTAGACGTAGCATGGTGTTTTGGAGAGAAATAGTCCTAAATCCAGTATCTGAACATCTTTGAATTTTGGAGAAAGTTCAGACCAGGATTTCAGCTTTGCAGCTTGGGCCCAAGGTTTCAGGGCTGTATGCACAGTATTATTCTTACATTTCACATCTCTTCCATCTTCCAGTTTTTTCACTATACATTCTTGTCCATTTTTAGGTTGCGTTACCAGGGATATTTTGGAGGAGTTACTGCTCTAACAAGGGACCAGTTTTCCAAGGTGAATGGATTCTCTAACAATTACTGGGGCTGGGGTGGAGAGGACGACGACCTCCGAATCAGGTAATCAAATGGTTAGAGGGAAATGAGTGTATAGGGCATGGGATGTGGATTAAAGGGAGATTAATGTGACTTAACTTGAGAACTTCAGTGCAGATGGAATAGACAAGGGAATGTGCCATTGGAAGTTCTTAAGTTATGAAGAGTAAAGGAGTTCAGGAATTCGCAGTGCATGTGGTAGAGTATTTATTGGTTGATCAGCTGGAATGGAGACACTTGATTGTGGTTTAGTCTAGCAGCAGGATACTCATATAGCTGTGCCCTCTGGGTGATGGTAAAATTACTGATTTCACTGACAGCAGAAGTGTTAGTTCTGGGTAGGATTTTCCATGCTGTTTTCTCTGGTATATCCAGAAGAGGGGCATCCCTTTAGAATCCTTCGCAGGGCTGCAGTGGAAGCAATTACATCTGTATTCTGCTCTTTGCCTCTGTACTAAATGTACGTCTCTGTTTTGAGACTCCTCCTAATGCTAGTTCTGGGAAGAGAGTGTGAGGGTGCAAACTGAGGGTTTCTCATTCATTTGACAATTTACTAGCATCAAGAAGCTGTAGAGCTTCAACTCCTCAAATGCTATTTTGCTTTCTTACTGCAAGCTACATGCTCTTTCAGCTGTTTTGGTGACAAATAGCCCTTGGAGCTTCTCAATTCTGTGACTATGAAATTTGCTTTTGAACACTCCATTTGCAGGATTATGCTCCATAAACTTGTATTTAAAAAAACAAAACTCTAAGACATTCAAAGGTGGGTGCCTGAAATTAGGCTGTTAGGTGCATATGAACATTAGGTACTTCAGGTAACTAGTATTTATTGCAAAGAGAAACTTGAAAATGTAAAGAAGTTCCACTGATGCTATGATGTGTATTTGAGTCTGCAGGCAGCCTGAAACAATGGTTCCGAGAGATGCCAACTGTAATAAGATGTTCGCTCTGGACTCTAATGATTAGTGGGAACCTACAGACTTCATAGTGTCAGAATATCAGTATTATTATATCCTTAACCATATGTCTTTGTCCTTCTAACAAACAGCCAGCTTGTGTGTTCACCCCACTGTACTAAACTGCCTCCCTTGTTACCAAAATTCACAATGGTCTCTTACTCCAGTTGTTGAAAAACTTTAGCTTCTCTCCAACAACTTCTTCAGTGCTGTTGTGTTTTCAATGTAAAAGTCTATATCTCATTGAAAATGGAATGGGCAGCATAAAATAATGTGACTTTAATTCTATTGTTAATTTATGTTGATATTAAATATGCATTCAGTCATACAATCAAGGCAAACAAGACTGTGTTTTTAATTTTCCTGGTGACACCCTGGAAGTTCAGCTGTTACCCTAGAGCCTCAGAATCTAGGGGCCTTTTCACAGAAACTAGGCCAAGTTCACTGTAGAATGTATGAGGCCTTGCCATAAACTCCCTGCAAGAATACAGTGGACATGAAACAGGCCCTCCAAATAAGCCATAGTCGCTTAACAATTTCTTGATTGTATTCAAAAGGAATGGATGGCTGAAACCCTGAGACTGCTGTGGGAAAACAGAATTTTGCTGGGCTCCATTTCTATGGTGGAGTTTGGTGTAGGAGAGAGAGGAGAGTGTGTCTGAGTCCTCTGGGGTGTGGCTCACTGTTTGTTCCTCTAATGTTCCTGACAAGTTTCAGAGGGGTTGCCATGTTAATCTGTAATTAATTGAAAGCACTTTAAAAACAAGGGAATAGTCCTTCAGCACCCTAGAGATTAACAAAATATGTAGATGGTATCATGAGCTTTTGTGGGCACAACCCACTTCATCTACATTTTTTGTTGGTCTCTAAGGTGCTGCAGTTGTTTTTAAAGTCCTGACAAGTCTGTGGCTCCCTTCTTGCTATGGTGCTGAGCTTACATGTACTGTTCTGCTCACTGCATCCTTACTACTTTCAGAGTTGAGCTACAGAAGATGAAAGTGATGCGGCCATCCCTTGATGTAGCCAGGTACACTATGATCTTCCACACAAGAGACAGAGGCAATGAGGAGAATAGAGAGAGGTGAGTGAGAACAGGACTCCATTCCACACCCTCTCCCCACAGATAGCATAATACAAGAGCTTGGCGCTGCCTCTGTCCTGCCAATACCATCTGGGAAAGTGTGCTTTGAGGTGTCCTCTTCATGAACATTAATGTGACTGTGAGCTTTATAGAAGAGAGGCTAACTAGCTAGGCTCTTTCCTGGAGCCCATTGCATGGTATCTGAACACTTAATTATGCACATACTCCTATGGAGTTAGAGTTACAGGCACATGGCCATCATTTGGGTGTACATTATCTTTCAAGCCTCAAATGTTGGAAAGCCAGGAGTTGACATGAAATTCTAGGATTTCTGTATGTGTGAGTCTGATACATTCACACATTAGAATAGATGTAGAACTGGGTAAAAGGAACACCGTCTTTAAATACTCTCACTAGGGATATAAATGAGTAGTCGAGTATACAATTAACCAGAGGCAGCAAGGGGGGAGGAAGGGAAGCAGGAGCCGGTGCTGTGGGAAGTTGGCTTAAAAGCTGGTTTCCCCCCAGCACCAGTTCTGTAGCACCACCTATCCTCCTCTGCAGCACGGGAGGAGGGCTGAGGAGACAGCTTTGCAGCACTAGCCCCTGTCTGTGTGGGGGTCTGAGCTCCCCGCAGACGGGTTGCTGCCAGGGACAAGCCTCTATCCATGGTTAGATTGGGCCTGCCCTAGACAGAGGCTGATCCCTGACAGCAGCCCCTGTCCTTGGGGAGCTGGGATCCCCCCCATGGACAGGGGCTGCTGCTGGACCAGCCTCTGTCCACAGCCAGCTCAGGCTGCTGTGGCAAGAGTCTGCTCTGTGGCAGTCTCTTCTCCTCCTCCCTCTAGCCCCACCGCAGGAGTCTCTGTCTGTGGGGAGCTCAGATCCCCCTTCCATGGACAAGGGCTGCTGCCACCCCACACTGCTGCCTCTGTATCAGAGGCAGCAGTGCGGGATGGCAGGCAGCCGGTCTGGATAGGGAGCTGTTTTTTAAACTGGTTCCCCTTGCAGACTGGCTCCCATCGGGCACCCTACACTGCTACCTCTGATTCAGAGGCAGCAGCAGGAGTGGCAGGGGGCTCCTCAGGAGTGGGACCGGATTGCAATGGCTGCCACCCCCTCCCCCGGGGACTATAGAATAATCAAGTAACTAATAAGAATTCATGAGGTTACTCGACTATTCAAGTACCCGTTAATCTAACATCCCTAGCTCTCATTTCTTCAGATCCACCAATGACATGGGTGCAGGATAGAGCTTGCTGCTCCTCTACCGTGAATTGTAATGGCATCCCTAGTTTTGGAGTAGGCGTTTCCCAACTTTACAGTCCTATAAATGTTTTTTTCCTCTGATTTATTTCCTTAGGATGAAACTCTTGCGGCAGGTGTCCCAAATGTGGAAAACAGATGGACTGAACTCCTGTTCCTATAAACTTCTCTCTGTGGAGCACAACCCTTTGTATACCAACATCACAGTGGATTTCAACATATCACCCAAGATCTCATAACACTGGTTATTGTAGATTCTAGGAGACCTTAATAGATCTTCTGCTTGCAGTAGCTGCTGCAGTGACTTGAAACGCACCGTTCTATCTGAAGGGGTCCCCTAGCAAGCACAGAGTCAGCAAAGAGGAAATAGTTTCTTTCATCCTTTCTAATTATTTGGTTAAGAATTTTGTTTTGTGGCAGGCTGTGCGTTCAGTGGGAGCCCTGGGCTGACCCAGTGGATATGTTGCTGTGACTGTTTTTCATTGGGATATTTAGAAAGTCTACTTGTTTGGGCGGTTGGCTTTTCATTGGCCTTGTTGGGAGCTCGAACTACACACACTGAAAGCTTCAATTCCAGTTGTTCTTTCCAAATCTGCCATTGTTAGAAACCAGGACACAGGAGCTAGCACATCATGTTTTCAAAAGAAGTGAGACTGCATTGTCAGCCAAAGTGCACAAGAATATTTCATAACCCTAAAGTCTTGTTGAAAAAGGCTGATTTCCTCTCAGCCTGGGTATGTAAGAAAAGAGAAGGAAGCAATCATGTTAACTACAGCCACAGCAAAGAAAGTATAAACATTCTCAATAAAATACATCCCACTTCACTCCAAAGGATTCCCTTGTCCTTCATCAATTCAATTCAGTATTTATTGGGAGTGCTCAAGAGTCCTGTGGACATATGAAAGGCTCAATTGTTTATGCAGCAGATCTGTAATACAGACACTAGTACGGTTATCACCTTCCTACTGTGCTAGTCTAGGGTGGGCATTAAGGGAATACACACAAGTTAGTAATGTGTAAAATTGATTGAAACTTACCTCAGTTCCTAACTTCCTGGTCACTTATCTTAGTGCTCAGTGTAATGTAAATACCGAGCAAGGTAATGACTTGACATTTTGTAGTTCTTGCTTTAGAAAAAATGGGATGGATTTGTGCATAAACTGGCTAGCAGTTGCAATAAATAACAAATTTTCGACTGTAAATGCATGGGTATGTTGCAAGCTGTTACATGTGGCAGCAGACAGCACTATGTGGACAACTGCTTGCTGGGTAGACAGTGGTTGCAGTCAAATGTAAGATCATAGTCTTCACAAGGAAAAACGGCTTTGATTCTGATATTTGTTATATTAATTCCTCTAGGAAACAGTAATTTTATTACCTAGAAACTTAAATGTTAGAAACCCTGCTTCTGGTAGCAAAGTCTAAGACATTATTTCCTTTAGCTAGGTTTTGAGTGTATTCATTATGTCTGGCAGAGGAAAGACATTGGCTGCGTCTAGACTGGCAAGTTTTTCCGCAAAAGCAAGTGCTTATGCGGAAAAACTTGCCAGGTGTCTACACTGGCCGCTTGAATTTCCGCAAGAAAATTCTTACTTACAGATGGTCAAGTAAGTGTCTTTTTGAGGGGAGAGGGAAGAAACACCCCAATTGCCTATTTCTCATGTGTCAAACTGCAAAAGCAGCCTTTGCTTCAGACTGCCAGGGCTGAACAGTTTGCCTGTAAACAGTGAGGTCACAAAGGGGCAGACCCTTCCAGACCCTCAGCTTCAAAGTTTCATAAGAGTGGGACCATCCCAAGCAGTTCTGGTACCCTACACAGCCCCTGCGTGGGGACATGCACTAGTCTATTAAGTGCTACCAGACCATTTGTTGTTTTTTAAGTTTATCCCGTACGGACTAACTAGGCTACCCCCTGAAGCTTCTAATCCCTAGGTGATGAATTGCTACTCTCATTGGCCGGAAACAGCAATTCATGGTGGACAGGAACTATAAATACCCCTACCAGAAAAGGTGCAATTAAGGTGCATCTACACTGCACCCTAAACTGGAAATATTGTGTAACTTATTTTGATTTTATTTCAAAATAGCTTATTTTGAAATTTGGCATGTCTACATGGCACCAAATTTTGAAATAAAGTGCTCTTTTGAGCCTTTCCTTATCCCTTGTGCAATGAGGTTTATGGGGATGGGGAAATAGCGCACCTGTTATTTTGAAAAATATTTCAAAAGAATGGATGGCTTGTGTAGACTCAGGAGTAGCATGTCTCAGCCACCCAGAGAAGATGTCAGAAGTATCCTCCTCATGCCAGGCTGCTGTCCCTGGGAAAACCTTGTGCCTTCTGCAGCCCTTGCCAGTCTGGCCCTTGGGTACCCCTCACTTCTGACCTGGACCTCCTGGCTACCTGCTCAGATACTTCGCAGCTTTACGGTGTCCAACCTGCAGCCCTCTGCTAGCTTCTCAGGTACTTCCCAGCTCCATGGTGCCCATCACTCCTGACCTGCAGCCTCCTGCTACCAGACGGGAATCTTCCCACCTGGTACCCCTCAGTCCCAACCTGCAGTCACCTGCTGGGTGACCCATGATGCCCTTGCTCCACCTTGTTCTGCTCCTTTGACCCACAGTCTACTGCCAACTCAGGTCTACGGTGCCCTCACTCCTGACCCATGGGGACCAAGAAGCTCTTTCAGGAAAAAGTCCTTGGAGCCAACAGTATTTCTAGGGTAGAAACTAGGGATGTAATAGTTCAGTCGATTAACCAAGTAACCGATAAGGAGAAGCTTATACGTTAATGCTATAGACTTCATGAAGTTCCCCCGCCCCTCCTCTGTGCTTCTCCCTCCCTCTGAAATGGTGAAACCACCAGCAAGAATGGCCATTCTTCCACAAGAACCTGCCAGTGTAGACATAGCCTAGGAGTTGCCTGGGAATCGGCTGTGGGGAAGGGAAATATTACACTGGTTTTAGTGGGGGACGATCCATGGCTATGTATACACTGGCAGCTTCTTGTGCAAGAACATTTTGCACAAGAACACGTCCACACTGCAATGTGCGAGATGTGCTTTTGCATAAGAGCATCCATGGCAGCGTGGACCCTCCCTTGCATAAGAAAGCTCTGATAGCCACTTTAGCCAGAGGGCTTTCTTGCGCAAGAAACCCCTGCCGCACATCCACACTGCCCTCTTGCGCAAGAGCTCTTACACCTGTTAGCAAAGAGCATAGCTCTTGTGCAACAAGCCCTCTGCTACCATGCTTTACTGTAAATCTCTTGCGCAAGAGCAGGTGGGCAGTGTGGATGCTCTGCAGAAAAAGGGCTGTTCTTGCGCAATTATCCGCCAGTGTAGACATAGCCAAAGAGTGCAGGGCCAAAGGAGCAGAAGCTGTGGGGAAGCAGGACAAGGCAGGGATGCAACTGTGGTCACATGTAAAAAATCTTTTTCCTCAAACCAAAGAAATGGGCCAAGTTTTACATTTCAGTTGCACTTGTTCTAACTGAATTGTATGTTTAGAATGGTTTATAATGGGGAAAAATATGGAAGGTTTTTCCTTATTCCTCAAGACCAAGGTTTTTAATTGAAGCGCTGTTTTGTTTTTAATTCTATCTAAAAGCAAGTTTGGGGCTTTTTTGTCCCCTCCCTCCAATCTTATTTGGAAAATTATATGTGGGGAAGTGAAAATTACAAGTGATGCATAATGGAAATATCAGCTGCTTATTATCATTAATGTTATAAAAGCTGAGACACTGTACCACCATGAACACTTTGAGAAGTAAATTCCATCATAGACTGCCATCTGCTGTTCCCTGTGAGTACTGCAGCAATAACTGCTCCTTTTAGTAAGGAAGCTGCAACTGTCAAAAGAGTGTTTCATGCAGCAGAGATGAGCAGCAATATTCCTTTGAATCTTTTCTATCCATGTGCACCAAGGCATGTGCTAATCTGCACCACCAGTAGAAACAAAAAAGTAAGTGCACAGCTTATAGAAAACATTGATCAGAAGCCCAGAGGAACTCTATCCACCACAAATTACGTTATGATACAAGGACTTCCTCATCTTGGGGCTGACAGATATCATATGGTGGTGCCTTTGATCTAGCCAGGCTGAATACAAAGCAGTTGATCTCTGGAGAAGTGGTGTTTTTTAGAACAGAGTAGTATCTAGAGCTACCTAATGATAAAAAGAAATGAAACTGTATTTGCATTTAGTTTGGCCCTCTTGTCTCTCCTCCCCACGTAATGTAGTCTCTCCTGACTACCAGTCTAGCTTTCGTATAGCCGTGCATGCCCTAGCTTTTTAGTAGTTTCTGGTTGCCATTTGAGAAGTTGATTAGTGGTAAGTCCTATTTTAATAAGCACAGGACCTAAGCTAGAGCAGCTTGGTAAAGCACAGAGAAAGAAACAAACAGAAAAGATAGTTAAAGACATTGAGGCTTTTAAATCCTAAAATGTGTGTAGCTTCAGACCATGCTTGGGGAAAGAAATTTAAAAAAATAGGACCTTCCCCTGAGACTGCCAATCATTAAGAGCCAGTCTGTTGATTATCAGGACACAATACAAAGCGTGTGTGTATACTTCAGCCTGGTTTAAGGGGGATGTGAAAAATTCAATTTGCATTAAGTAACACAGCAGGGTAACTCCAAGAGGGTGTTTTACTACAATATAGTGAGAGTGCGCCTTTTCAGTTTGATTTAATCTATCTGGAAGGTGTACAAAGTCCAGCTCCAACTTCTCCTTTATCCTGGGTAAAAACGACAGACTAGTACTATAGTCTGTGCTCTTATTCCCATTAATGCTAAGTAATTTTTCCTGGTTAACATGTCTTCCTCAGTCCTACAACAGAAAATCCAGAATAGGAGGCACTGTGAAATAAAAGCTAGGGGGCTTAACATAGCTGACAGTTAAAAGGATTCAATAACCTAGAAGTCTGACTGGCAAATAATAAAGTTTTATTAGAGTATGCCTGAGGGTCACCTTACAGCTGTTTAGCAATGCTGAAGTCCTCTCCTCCACAGATATTAACCCATTTTTAGCCAAGTGATTTCCAGACAACACATAGTAGTAGGGGACCATTTAACTATCTTCAACTGCTTAGAAATTTAACTCAGTAATAAATTGGGCCTTGAATATTAAGGGCTACAAAATTACTTTAGGACAGTGGTCTCCAACCTTTTTACACCCAAGATCACTTTTTAAGTCTCAGAACAGGCAAAGATCTACCACCCCACCCCTTCCTTGAAGCCCCGCCCTCTCTATTCTCCTGCCCATCACTTGCTATCCCCAGCCCTTATACACTCTGTTAAACAGTTTATTTTTAAATTATGCAATATATAAAATTAAAATCACATTTATAGTTATGAAATAAATGGTGTTTTTAATTCATGCTATTTAAATGTCAAATGAAGCATTTACAATTATACATTTTGTTCTCTATTTTGTAAATCTAAAATAAAGTATTGATAATTATATATTTTTTTCTTCCAATAACAAAGTTTCAGTGTGACACCTGTGACTGAACAGTATCTGCCAGTGTCTTGAAGTCTGGGTTGTAGTCTGAGATTGCTAGTCATATACAGTCCATCAGATGGGCATCTGTGCTCAGCCTGGGAAGCTTGCTTCAGCACAGCTGGAGCTAGATGCAGCCTCCCTGGGCTGAGTGCAGGGCAGCCGGGTTGGAGGGAAGAGAAATGGCTGCCCAGCCAGCTGGCCATGGCGCTCAGCCAGGGTGCACCAAGCTCCACGTGGGCAGGCACAGAGGAGAAGCTGCCAATCAGCTGGAGCGCGGGGCAGCCTCTTTCAGCTGTAAGCCACTCAGTCAGCTTGCTGGGGTGCTCCAGCCCTCCCGACCTCCCAGCTCCCACCATTCCTCACAGCTACTCACTTGTATTGTTGCTCAGTGAGTAGCTGCTCCTCAAATGGGGAAATCTAATATAAATGTACTGCACAGGTGCGCAGTTCAGAGAAGGCTCAAGAGCTACTCTTAGAGCCCCTGAGATCTACCGGTAGATCGCGATTGGTGACCATGGCTTTAGGTTATGACAAGGCTTGGTTGTAATCAGCTAAGAATAAATGGCTGGTTCTAGAGCCACAGTGACAGGCTACATCTAGACTGGCATGATTTTCCACAAAAGCTTTTAACGGAAAAGTTTTCCATTAAAGCATTTGCGGAAAAGAGCATCTAGATTGGCCTGGACACTTTTCCGCAAAAAAGCCCAATCGCCATTTTCGCAATCGGGGCTTTTTTGCGCAAAACAAATATGAGCTGTCTACACTGGCCCTTTTGCACAAAAGGACTTTTGCCCAAACAGGAGCAGCATAGTATTTGCGCAAGAACACTACACTTTTCCGCAAAAAAGCCCAATCGCCATTTTCGCAATCGGGGCTTTTTTGCGCAAAACAAATATGAGCTGTCTACACTGGCCCTTTTGCACAAAAGGACTTTTGCCCAAACAGGAGCAGCATAGTATTTCCGCAAGAAGCACTGATTTCAAACAGTAGGAAGTCAGTGTTCTTGCTAAATGCAGGACAATGTAGCACTTTAAAGACTAACGAGATGGTTTATTAGATGATGAGCTTTCGTGGGCCAGACCCACTTCCTCAGATCAAATCTATCTGATCTGAGGAAGTGGGTCTGGCCCACGAAAGCTCATCATCTAATAAACCATCTCGTTAGTCTTTAAAGTGCTACATTGTCCTGCATTTTGCTTCAACTACCCCAGACTAACACGGCTACATTTCTATCAGGGTTCTTGCTGAAATTCAAGCGGCCAGTGTAGACAGCTGGCAAGTTTTTCCGCAAAAAGCAGCTGCTTATACGGAAAAACTTGCCAGTCTAGACACAGCCAACAGTGTCAGGATCTAGAGCAAAGGTAGCTAAATGCACTAGCTGTCTCATGATCTGTGAAGAGATGGTCCACTGGATGGCTGTAAGGACTGGTAAAGAGGGGAAAAAAAGGGCCTTTATCTAGGGAATTATCTTTAAGTTTAGTTACTACAACATGGAGAAAAGGCAGAATGTACATGCTCAATGGAGAAGTGTCCATATTACAAAAGTGACATGTTTCCCCTTTATTGCAGTCTCAAAACTAGACCAAGGACTGTGGAGACCATGTTGCTCTCTCTTATGCAGCTTTCCTTTGGGCAGGGTTGAAGCGAGGGTAGGAATTCACGGGAGCCTGCATTGTACTTCTGCATGAATGAGAAGTTCAGGTTTTGTAAGTAGCAATATGACCTCTTCACCTGACTCACTGGCACTCTCCCATTTCTTTTTCTGGGCTTTTCATGAGAACTATTTTGCTTTCATAGTTGCT